TCACACATGTTCACCATTTATTTCTCTTGCTCTATGACTTGCCTATTTCATGGCCATTGCTCATTTTTCTTTTGGGTTGTTAATAATTTTCCTGTTCATAAGAGCTGTCATATACTAAACAAACAGGCCTTTTTAGGTCATAAGTATTACAGACATTTTTCCCCAGGTTGGTATTTGCCTTTCATTTTGCATGTAGTGTTCAAGCTACATAGAAATTTTCACTTTTATATATAAAGGTAATGTATATCATCTTTTCCCTTATGGTTTCAGGGTTTTGTGTTTCATTTGAAAAAGACTTCTTCATGCCATGTTAAAATTTTTAACACTCATGCTTTTTCAAATTCTTTACTTTCCTTTTTTTAAAAAAATGAATCTGTATGTGTTGTCCAAGGAATAAAAGAGTCAGCTTTGTCTCTTTTTCCCCTGTGACTGCCTGGCCAGTTGTCCCAGTTATTGAAAGATACAGCTTGGTCTTGCTGGCTTGAAACCCCATCCTGGCCGTTTTGTATTTATTTCTTAGAAATTGTCATGTGTATTTCTGTCTTAACATTGGAACACTGGTGTGTTTTTTGTATCCTATTCTGTTCCATGTTCTGTTTTATCCACATTGTTTTATTTATTTATTTATTTTTGGTACCGGGGATTGAACTTGGGTCCTTGCGATTACACAGCAGGCGGCAAAACCACTGAGCTAAATCCCCGGCCCTCCACATTGTTTTAATTTAGTAAGCTCATCTTCTCTCATTACCCTTCTTCTTTAGAATTTTCCTAGCAATTTTCACATGGTTCTTTTTCACTGGAAATGTAAAATAACTTATCTACTTCACCCCAATTCCTGGAAAACCCTGTTGGATTTTTATTAAATTTATATATTAATTTAACAGAAAGTATTATCTTTCCATTTAGTTTTGAATCTTTTTTGTTTTGGTTTAGCTTGGGTTTTTTGAGACAGGGTCACACTATATAATTCAGGCTGGCCTTGAATTCACTATGTAGCCCAGACTGGCCTCACACTCATAACAATCCTCCTGCGTCAGCCTTCCGAGTGCTAGTATTATAGGTATGCACCACCAAGCCCAGCCATATTTAAATCTTTTAAAAGTCATTTAGGATAACTTAAAAGTTTTTTTTAAATTAAGCTCTTCATAGTTTTTGTTAAATATTTTACCTTCTTATTGTTGTTGGTATTATAAATGAGATTTTTCCTTCCGTTAAATTTACGAATTGGTTATGGCTTGCAGATAAAATAGTTATTATTTTTTGTGTTAATTTTGGAAGTTCTCTGCATTCTCTCATTATTTCTGTTAGTCTTTAGGCTGATTATTCTGGAGCCACTTATTAGTTACTGATATTTTTAGAGACTAACTGGCTAAATTAAGCCTTTCTCATTTCTAATCAATGCCTCCACTATTCCTATTAGGGCCTACAGTTGCCTGTGAGAGAAAAGGAACATGTGATATTTGCTTGTGTAAGATATTGAGCTGAAGGAGAATTAAAACAAAATGTAGGGCTGGGGATTTAGCTCAGTGGTTTCGCTGCCTGCTGCACAAGCGCAAGAACCCGAGTTCGATCCCTGGTACCAAAAAACCCCCAAAAAACAAAAAAACAAAAACAAAATGTAGACTCTGTTTTTGCCACTATAATGAAAAGGATCACCTGATTGACTTTACATCAAGTGAGTAAATGCTGGGGGTGTTGTAACACGATTATCAAAAGAGGCTTCTTCTCACCTCTGTCATTTTAAAAGCAATCAGCTTACAACGTCTTGATGTAAGCCGTTTATAGGACAGATACTTCAAATGTTAAATGGCAAACACTCCCTGATCTCACTGGAGAAACAAGATAACTGAGAACTTTAAGACAGATGATATGACACCAGTGGAAATCAAGGAAACAATGTCACCTTAGCTTATGTGAGGCTAGCACCCACGCTAAGATGGATGTGACCTTTATTTGATACTGTGCTCTTGGTAGCTTCTAATCTCTAGTCTATAAGGTCTTAGTGGATGGCTCCTACGGGACTGTCTGAGAGCCAGGAAAAGATTCCAGAGCCTCAGCTTGTGGAGCAGGTGTGGAAAAGGGCCAAGGAGAAACCCAGCTTTAAAACCTAAAACACTGACGATAAACCCGAAGCTTTTCTACTTGAATCACAAACATGATTAAGAGGAGAATGGATGAAGAAAAGTGACTGTTGACTAAGAGGAAAGGAACAGCTGAAACTACAGCCAAAGCCTCTGTTTGATGGTGGCAACTTATATCTTCCTGCTGAGTGCTTCCACCTGAGGGCAAGACACCTGAGTTGCCATAGGGTTGTGCACATCTGATGTGACCTGCCACCGAGCAAAAGCTGAAGATGCTGCTGTGGTGCCCAAAAGAAGTAGTAGGGGAAGACTTCGTGTTCAGGGGAAGGGGAGATGGGAATGCTCCAGAGAGTGAGGGTGAGCGTGTTGGCTACATGACTAGGGGGTCCAAGTATCCCCAAACTCCGGAGACTTCCCAGTATAGTCAGTGTAGTCAGGCTAAGGCTTAGCCTTGGTTCTGACTCTTGTTTTACAGAGAAAGACAGCTGAGTCAGAGGTGAAAAACTTGCTGCAGCAGATGCATACATATGTCAGCTCGTAAATACACCCTCAGATGTCAGACAGAGACCAGTGGGTTAAATATATAGGGACACAGGGTGCAGTTTGAGATAGGCAAGACTCCTTTGCTCATATGTTAGGCAGGATGGTGTTCTTTGTCACTTAGTTGGGATTATTTACCTTGCTTTTTTTTTTTACTAGTAGCTATTATTATAATTCTTACTGTACTTGAATTTTTTGAGTATTTATTGTATGCCAAGCACTGTTTTGGGTTTTTTTGTTGTTGTTTTTGGTACCAGGGATTGAACTCAGGACCTTGCACTTGCAAAACAGGTGGCGGAACCACTGAGCTACATCCCCGGCCCCTAAGCACTGTTTTTGAGCTCTTTATCCTCACTGGATGAGGCAGTTCCTATCACTTCACATTCTATAGATAAGGAACCTGAGTCTAAGGGAGAGTGGAACCATTTTTGGGGTCAGAGCTGGAAGTTGCAGAGCTGAGATTCAAACCCTGTCCTTCTGACCACATTGTTGTCGAGCTCTACTTATTTTCTGTTTCTAAGTCTTCTTCTTTTTTTCAGGGGGGACTGAGACAGGGTCTTGCTACATAGTTCAGGCTGGCCTATGGACTCACTATATAGCCCAGGCTGACCTCAAACTCATAGGGACCCTCCTGGCCCAGCCTCCTGAGCACTGAGATTACTTTTTTTAAAAATTTTATTTTATTAGTACATTTTAGGTATACAATATAATGACATTCATCATTGGAAATTTTCACCCTTACATAATCTTTCTTGGTTACTTTTATTTTTAATAATACAAACATAAAGTTTATAGCAGTTTGCTAGACTACTTGCACAAAAACAGATTTTATCCTTTTAGGTTTGTTTCATTTGTTTGTCTGCTTGCTCTAAAATATTAAATAAGAATCAGAATCAAATAGAGAAAATGAGTGATCATAGATGTCCCAGCTTGAAATAATAAGAGGGAGAACCTAAACTTAAAGGAAATCATGGGGGCCATGCATGTAGTGGGGGCATGAACAACTTAACATTTCGACTGCTGATCACAGTTGGTATAGACTGGCTGTTCACTCTTTTTTTTTTATTTAACACATATTTGCCAACTTAAATTTCATTAGCATGCAATAAAAGACATGCCAAGCCCAGTTCAAATAAAACACAAGCATCATTTGGAGAGGTCGCTGCAGCCTGTTCTGTTTCCTGAGAGGCTAAAAGAAGCATCTCCCCCAGCTCCCAAACCTACATCTTACTTCTTCTTGATAAAGATAAAACAGCTGGGCCGGGGATTTAGCTCAGTGGTTTCGCCGCCTGGTGCGCAAGCACAAGGACCCAAGTTCAATCCCCGGTCCAAAAAAAAAAAAAAAAGATAAAACAGCCATGCAACTAGCTGTTCACCACGCTAATCATCCCATTAAATGACAAGCTTATTCATTTCTGATGTCAATTGTCTTTGTACCACTGAGAGAAATCTCCAAACTATTAGAGGTAAGGGAGTGTTCCAGGAGGAAGGACAGAAAGGAACTGTTGCCAAGGAAGGGATGAGTGCATGAAAGTGGCAGGAACCAACGATGTTAGAGTAGGTTGAACAAGAACCGAATTAGGGGGCAGCGTGTGGAGAGGTAAGGCGGTGAGGCGGGGCAAAGAGGAAGGAGGCGCATTGCTTTGTGAAGCCCACAGCCAGGACCTAGAAACACGGACCTGCAAGTCCGCCCCACCCAGAGCCCTTGGCTTGCCCAAGACAAGAGTCAAAGCCTTCTCCAGAAAAGTTTGGAACCAGAAAAATTTGGAACTAGTGGCAACTCAGCGTGTATGATGACCTCCCAGATTAGTGCCCTTGAGATTGCATGTTTCACAGATTTCTTGGGATACCGTGAATGTTAGAAGTTTCAAAATAGAACTTTAGTGATGCTGAAGAGGAGTAAGGTACAGCACTGTGGAGACCCCTTTCTCCCAAATGTGGGGACACTCGGGTTGCTACTCTGCTGCTCTCCAAAGGGAGGGATTATGTGCGGTCCCGAAGCACTTCACACCTCTTGAATCCCCCCCCGCCCCAAGTCAGTCATCCCTCTGAGCATCCTTCTGCTCTCAGTGGCTCTTGAAGGGTGGAGCTCTCTCTGGCTGACCCCTCTCAGAGCAGGTGGTCCTTGGATTCCAGCATCCAGATCATCTACTCCACAGGCCCTTCCAAAGCAGAAGGGCTCACCTCTCTGCTCAGCCTCCTGGCCTGTTCTCTGCCACAGAACTTCTTCAGTAAACCCTTAGGAGGGCCTTTCCCCGACCCTCACCCTGCACTCCTTGCCCTCTACTTACTCTCCCCACACACATTTGCACACAGGGGTCTGAAGGGCTGTGGGTGGGTGTGGGGAGCAAGAGAGTGAAGGAGAGTCGGAACACTCACCAAGTGCAGAGTGTCAGCTTTCTGTGTCTGTCTCTGTCGGCTTTTCTGGGCAGCAATGCGATTTTTCTCTCTTCTCTGAACTTTCCTCACATCATCAGATGAATCCTGGGAAGCAGAAACAGTGAGAATTAGACAAGTCTATTCCTGTCTTCTGAGTGAAAGCAAGCTGTCATGGCATTGAGTACCACTCACCCATCCACCCACCCATCCATCTATCCATCTCTCCATCCATTCATCCATCCATCCATCCCTCCTTTCCATTTGTCCATTCATCCTTCCATGTCTTAATCTCTTCATGTATGCATCAGTCCCTTTATTTACCAGTCCTGCACCCAAAGGAGCACTCTTCTCCATACCCTGTTATGCATCCTCAGATATCTATGCCTTTTTTGGCCAAAAGCTACAGGAAGAAGAGATCTTGAGGTCTTAATAGGGCTTTTTTTTTTCTTTCAAAAATGGTAAAAGGCAATGAAGTGTGTTCTGTCACCTCTCTCTTCTTCAGAACTGCTCTAGTGTCACTCATTTTTTAGCCTAGAACCTCTTGCTGTTCTTTTTGCTTTTACTTTTTTTCCTCAAAACTTTGTTAAGCATCTATTGTGTGCCAGCTTCTGTTCAGGTGCTTTCAAAGGTGCTCTTGTTTAATTCCCCAATTCTGTGAGGTGTGTATCATTATTTCCATTTTATATAGGAGAAGACTCGGGCTCTAAGAGTTGGCCCATGAGCTCACAGTAATCCAGAAGTGCTGAATCTCTTGGGGCAGAGTGTGAAGTCTTTCCAGGACTCCCTCACTACCAGCGACCTCACTGCTTTGTACCCTAGGAGGGTCTGCTGCTGCTGCATCTCTAGACAGAGGGCATCACCCCAAATCTGCCCTTTCTTTTTCTTCATTGCCTTCGTTGTGCTCTGCCAGCATGACCTTCTCTACGGCTGTGAGCGCAATGCCCAGTACAAAGAAGACGCCAAGGAGAACATTACAATGGAGTTACCTGCTGTGGGAGGTTGTGGATAGGGTTTGGGAGGATAAGGAGATCGTTGGGTGTCTTCTAACTATACCCTCAGGTGGGCATGTCCTCCGCTGGGCTAGAGATATTAGTTGCGGCTTTCTCTCGATGGTGTAGGTTAGCATAGACATCTGAAAGAATTACTTCTGCAACTCCTGGCCTGTTCCCTTGCACATTCTGCTGGTTAGAGGTGCACATGTCCTAGGGACAAGACTCTGTGGTGCCAGTGTGACCCATCCTTCCAGGTCATTGCAGTAGGAGGATATTGGGTTAACTGGGAAGGAAGTGCTCTTCCTCTAAGGGGTACAGGGGACTAGGTTACCATGGAAGCCATGAGTAATTTCCTTCCTAAGAAGAGTACAGTTCAGATTTCTAGGCAGTCTGAGCCACTCAGATACCATGTTGAGCAGAGGACTGGATTGTTGTCCCTCTCAAAGTCTCCACTGGGACTTTGTTCAACCCGCTGTTCTTCTGTTAGTTGGTTTTGATAGATGCTGTATCAGATATTAATATACTTTTATTTTGGCTCCAGTATTTTGCAAGATCCCTGATATGTGTATTAAGGAGAGAATGCAGGTTTTAAACCACAGAAGTGGAAAAGTTTTATCCATGGATATATGTTAGATGCAAAGGAGGCAGATTTCTTATAGTGAGGGAGGTCAGAAATGTGGTAAAGGTAAAGAAGGTCCCAGCCAGGCATGGGGGTGCATGCCTATAACCTCAGCTACTTGGGAGGCTGATGCAGGAAAATTGCAAGTTCTAATTCAACCTGTGTAATTTAGCAAGACCCTGTCCCAGTGAGAAAAAAATAGGCTGAGGTGTAACTCAGTGTTAAAGCACTTGCCTAGTATGTGGGAGGCCCTAGATTCAACTCTGAGAGACAGACAGAGAGAGAGAGAGAGAGAGAGAGAGAGAGAGAGAGAGAGAGATTGAGATTCATTTTTTGATGACCCTCCAGCTGAAAACTTTGGCTTGGAAGTCAGTCTAGACTCCAAAGACTCCCAGAAACCCTTCCTCCCTAAGGTAGTCCAGGTCCTTTCCCATTCGGATAAGGAACCTGAGCTTTAGGGAGAGTGAAACCATTTCGTGGGGGTGGGGTCATTGGCAAATGTCTCCAAGTCTCCAGGGCCACTTTTTATTTCCTTCCTCCTCTCCAGAAGCCACAGGGAAAGAGGTGCGGGCTACACTCCAGCATCCCTCTGTCCACTGGTTGTGCTAGCAACAGAGGCAGTGTCTGGACACACAGCCTTCCATGCTGGCTTCCTCCTCCTGAATGTCTGATCCTTTCCTCTCTTTTTCTCTCTTGCTATCTGGGCCCTTCCTGGGAAACTACACATCTAGGGCTTGGGGCACATGTGCCTGGATCTCACTAGAAAGCTCTTGTGCTCGCTTCTCTACAGCCTTGGAAAACAGGATACACCTTTTCCTCTCAGTTCTTTAATATTCATCCTCTTCTTTGCTTCCTAGAAAGCTTCATGTGGGAACCTCGGTGAGGCAGAGGCAATGGGTGCACTTGGGGGCTGGAGAGGAAAAAAGGGCCCTGGCAGACAGGTGGTGGGATGAGGGTCTCCACTGCAATGCACAGTTGAGCTGCAAATGCCATGTCTGGGATCTAATAGGGTGCTCGTGCCATGAGCTACTTCCTCCCTCTATGGCTGCCGGAGCAGGACCAAGAAAGCCTGACCCTGTTCCTGCCCCCGTCAGAGAATTAGAGGTAGAAGAGAGGGACAGGGGACTCTACCTGCTTGCCAGGGGGAGAAGAGCGACTGAAGCTGGAGTCACTGCTGTCGGAGTTGTGAGGCATGGCTGAAGTCTTTCCGGCACGGTGCTCACTCAAGGGATGCCTCTGAGCTCTCTCGTCACCAGCTGACCTCCTTTCCTAACTGTCCCAGGCCACCAGCCCTGCACCTTTCACAGGTGCCTCTTCTGCTTGCCCTGCGACCACCTCTGACCCCTGTGTCCTCTTCGCTGTGGGGTGCAGAGGGACTGCTCCCCACAGGGACATCTCGCTTGCTTTGGGGCTTATGCGCGCGCTCTCTCTTGTGGTTTCTGGTAATTCATGCTGGAAGTCACATGGGCGGAAACTTCAACAACTTAGAAGGTAGTTTGAGAGAAAATATATCTCTGGGAAAAGACCCACTGAATTATGTGAAAGAAAAAAAAATACACGAAACCCCAAATACTTTTCGACAGTTTGAAAGCCAGAGCAGCTCTCTTCATTGATGAAGATAAAAGAGAAAAACAGCCGGGCAGGGAAAAACCCCAGCCAGAATTAGCACGTCAGTCTTCTGTCAACATGGCAGAGAGGGGAGGACAACTGGGAAAGAGTTTCCACTGTCACACGACTTGCTTTTTAAACCAAAATAAAGCAATGAGCTTGGGATTTCTTTTTAGTTTTCCACTGAAAGCACCTGCCAATCTTGAGTTAGGTTAGACTTTCCCCTCCCTTCCAGTCCAGCCAGCCTCGGGAGGGTTTGGGGACACAGTGTCCCAAGGGCACTGTCCTTTCCTGATTGTCAAACGCAAGAGTCTGGGGACATCTGAAAGCCACAGGGATGCTCTAGTGTTGACACACTGGATGTTTATTCGTTGCCTGTTCCTCTTGGCAGGCTGCTTATACTTTGTAGAGAAAGGATGCCTTCTTCAAGAGAATCCTTCAGGAGCCCAAGACTGGCCCTGAATCTTTATGAGTCAAGATCATCAAGTGAATCTAGAAAGGAGAAAGGATGAAAGGAGAAAGGAGAAAGAATGAACAATAGTGACAGAAGCATCAGAGTTGGTGTCAGACCAACTGTGATTTGAATTCTGGCTCTACCACTTTGTGTGTCTCTGACCTCAGGCAGCTCTTTGGAGCTCTGGGACTGCCATTACCTCCATCTGTGAATGGAAGATAATCAAGCCTGCCCTTGACTTCTCTGGGCTGTTGCAAGGAATGAACACTAACAGGGATTAGGATGTGCCTAGAAAACTATTAGGATGCTACCAAAATGGTAGTGGGTTGCTAGCCTTGCATGAACACATTCACAGAGTTTTCAGTTAGCCAGCCAAGTCTCACCTGAGCATTTTGGCTTTTTAAAAAAGCCTTGCCAGTATGGTGCAAAGCCAAATGCTCACCTGGCTTAATTTTTGGATTGACAGGATTTTGTGGTCCTAAAACATCTTGGTATCTTTTGTTAAATTTTTGCCCTAGGACAGTAGTGTCCTAAGAGTAAATTGACCAAAGCAAACTTTCTTCCCTCCTGGAATTTGTGTTTTCTCAGATGAATCAGGCAATAAACAAAGAAGTTAATATAGCATAGATCAGAAGGTGACAGGTGCTGTGCCTAAAAGTCAAGTCAGGTAGGGAGTGAGGGAGTTTCAGGGACCAGTGTCACTATTTTGGTAAGGGTCACATCTGAGCAGAGACCCGAAGGAAGGTTGGGTGTCCAGGGGAAGAACATCCAGCCAAGGGCATCAGCAACCACTCAAGGTTGGCATGGAGCATCGAGGAAGGGTGTGTGTGTGTCGGTATGGTGGGGTCAGAGAGGCAGTGATGGCTAGAGAAAAGGTCAGCAAGGTGAGGGGAGTCCTGTAAGCCTGGAGGCCACCGTGATTTTAGCTTTCATTCTGAAACAAATGGGAAGCCAGTGGAGGGTCCTCCCTTCACCTCCACTCTTATTCTCTACCTCAGCTACTACACATTACCTCATGGCATTTGTCACATTTTACTAGTTATTTACTTCTTTTCTTTCTGGTTCCTTCACGAGGATGTTAACTCTATTTATGAATTTCTTTCTTTCTTTTTTTTTTTTTTGGTATCGGGGATTGAACTCAGGTCCTTGCGGTTGTGAGGCAGGCAGCGGAACTACTGAGCTAAATCCCTGGCCCTATTTATGAATTTCTTAATTACTCTAACAGATTTTCACTGAGCACTACTATTTGCCAGATAATGCTCTAAGTTAGTGGTGGTGAACCTATGGCACACGTTATTTGTTTTTCTTTTAAGACAAAAAATGTTAGTATGTGAGTTGCTTTTTTCTAAACTAAAACCTCAATATTTGAGTTTAATTGCAGTGTTGGCAATTTTGCCATAAATTTGTGATAAATAAGTGGGTTTGGGGTTGCAGTTTGGGCAGTTATCTTTAAAAGGTTTGCCATCACTGCTCTAAATACTGAAGTTAGTCAGCAAAAAAAAAAAAAAAAAAAATTTGTCCTATTCTCTGAATGACATGGTGTATCAGCTAGCTTACAAAGACCAACAAATCAAGAAAAATCTTGATGGCTTAAAACAACTATGTTTTCAGCTCATGAGTCTACGGGTCATCCAGAAGTTTCCAGAAGGCTCCAGAAGGGTGGGTTAAGCTGATCTCAGCTGGGTTCCTCAGACAGCTGGTAGGTTGGGAGATAGCTGACTGGGCTGGGAGGGCATTTCCTGAGCTTGTTCTCCTTCACATGTCCTCTGGTCTCCAACAGGCTGGCCTGGGTTTGTTTATATGGCAAGTTTAGAATTCCAAGGCTAAGAGCAGAAGCATCCAGAGCATTTTGAGACCACTCTCAGAACCAGCACCATGTTCTATGTACTACTTCCACTGGCCAGAGTTACAAGGCTGGCCAGACTCAATCGAAATAAGCTCTACCTCTTTTTTTTTTTTTTTTTTTGGTACCAGGGATCAAACTTGGGTCCTTCCACTTGTAAAGCAGGTGGCAGAACCACTGAGCTAAATCCCTGGCCCAGCTCTACCTCTTCATTGGAGAAATTTAAGAAATCATGGCCATGTCTGCTCTCTCCCCCAGATGGAAAGTTTAAGAGCACAGGAGTGACATGCTGTAATTTAAGTCTTCACAGGATCTCTCTGGACACAGTTGAGATTTTTACTGTGGAGAGAAAAGTGGAAGTGGGGAGACCAGTTAGGATTCTAGTATCCGATTATCATAATAACCTAAGCAAAAGACATTGGTGGCTTAGATAGTGAAGGGAAGGGGTGATGAAGACAGTAAGAAGTAGGACATGTACAAACCAAAGACTGTCTCTCTTGTTGATAGTTGTGAGCCCAGTAGGTGCTTAATAAGAGTCAGCAATACATGTCAGAATGAATTCCCATACGACTGTGCTTATAATTTATGGCACTTAGGACGTTCATTGTCTTATATCTTCTTTATGGGGCTGGGGATATAGCTCAGTGGTTCTGATGCCTTCCTTACAAACGCAAGGACCTGAGTTCGATCCCCGGTACCAAAAAAAAAAAAAAAAGAGAGAGCTTTAAGGACAAGAATGGTCATTTTGTGTTTTATTCCACTTCAATTAATATTTGTTACCTCCTGTGTGGCAGAAATCATAAATATGAATAAGACAGAGAGAGGCCTGCTTTCTTAAAAAAAGGGAAAACAGTTAAACATCCAAACAGGTTTTTATAAGTTTTATAATATGCAGATGAAGTTCTTAGTTCTTTGGACATTCTACCATTCAATAGTCAATACTTGTTGAATGAATGATTGCTTGACTCTGTGGTGTTCAATCACTGTACTCAGTTAATATTTAACAGAGACTAACGAGGCAAGAAATACAACACGATCTCTTACATAGAAAGATAGGTCTTATTAAATAGTACTAAAATAAATTATTCTTATATATTTAAGATTAAAAATTAATACATACTTGGGTATCTAGCATTAAGCTTCAGAAAGAAATTCTGAGTGGAGCTGAAGGCTCCTGTATATTCCTTCCAAGATCCTTCTCACCCCCTGCAACCCATTATCCAGGATGTAGTTTCTATCATTCCTGTCCATGTTTCTGTATTTGAACCACATATGGATGTCTACCTAAAAAATTATAGCATTTTCCTGCATGATTTAACCTTTAAAATTGTTAATATTTTGAATTTGGTTTCTAAAAGCTATCTGAATTATAACAGCAAGGTCTGATATATAGGCATCCTTTGGCAAGACTGTATGAATTAAAATGCTGGAATTGCCTACAGTTTTTAAAAGAAGTAAGAGTAAGAGAAAGGCAGAACCTCCTGTATTAGTTATTTATTTCTGCATAACAAATCACCCTAACACTTAGCAGCTTTAGACCATAAGCTTCTATTATCTCACACAGGTTTGGAAGATTAGAAATCAAGGAACATCTTGGTCAGATGGTCCCAGCTCAGGGTCTCTCATGAGGCTGCAGTGAAGCTACTGGCAGGGGCTGTCTTTCTCTGGGGGCTGGACTGAAAGATCCAGTTCCAAGATGGCACGGTCACATGACTGTTGGCAAGAGGCCTCAGTTCCTTCCCATGTAAATTTCTCCACAGGGCTGCCTGAGTATCTCCAGGACATGGCAGCTGGCTTCTGAGCTTGCTGCTTTGTTCTAGTCATTACTAGTGATGCACTATATCCAGCCCACACTTGCAGGGATTGACTGAAACTCCACCTATTGAAGAGAGGAATTCCGAGGAATTTATGGAGTTTTCTAAAAACTATCATGCTTCCCAAACTGACTTCTAAGGGGATATTTAGCTGATGTAAGTATTCTGATGTGAAACCAGGGTGGGTCAAGGGGAGCATTCTGGTCCTGGCCTTGCCCTCCCACTGGTTTTATGACCTTAGGAAGGTCTTCTCTCTCCAGGCCTCTGTTTCCCCAATTTGGTGGCAGGTAATGGCAGAGAAGAAGCTAGGGTATACTTTGTGAATCTCAGTTTGGCCTGAAAAAAGAAAAATCTCTGCCTCACTATTTTATGGTGACGTTTCCTATGGCCAAGAGCAATGGACTCTGAACCAGAAGCATCTAGCAGCCCAGCTCTCCACTTACTGCTGGGTGATCTCAGGGACTTATTTAACCTCTCTCTGCCTCAATTTCCACATCTATAAAATAGAATATAATCTTGCCATGCTCGTGAGGCTATTTTTATAATGTTTGACTGAGTTAATGTTTGTAAAGTTCTCTGGACAGTACACAGAAAACAATGTTTGCTAAAATGAAGGGGAAAAAAGTCTTGTAAGGGCTCTAGCTAAACGTGACAAGTGGAGTGCTCGGGGAAGCTGCTCTCAAGGGAAGATTGAAA